ATAGTTGAAAAATTTAAAGATTACTCTTTCGAATTTAGATTTTGATAAGTCAACATTTCAGAAAAATGATCATCTAAATAATTTACAGTAGAAAAGTGGTGACATCATTTGAAAAACCAAGGTTTTCTTCAACTCTGCAGGATACTCATCCTTGAGGAGTACGAAAAATTTCAAAAATTTTAAAACATGGACCAATGGTCTTTAAAAATTGCAAAAAAGAGATCTTTAATAACAACTGCATTATTAAATGGAATAATTGGGGTGGAGCATGTTTCGTGAATCACTGTGTACATCGCCACCGTATAAATCATTATACACTGTACGGATGCCAATGGTATTTATATATTGACTGCAAACGAAACGAGAGAAAAAAATCACACGACCAGGTCGTCCAATTGGGAAGGTAAAAAAACATCTAAGTAGGTTTTTTTTCACGTCCCAATTAGGTACCTATCTATATAATATAATATATATATCGTATATGAACTATAGAATCCCGCCGTCGATAAAATGTCACGTTCAGCACCGAAAATATAAACGTGCTAAACACCGTAGCGAACTTAAACATACTCGTACATCATCTATTGTAGTATTATTATAAATTTATAACCTATTTATTATCATTTTATTCTTTTCAATATCATTGCGGGTCGTAGTTTGAACGGCATCCGCCGCAAGTATAATAAAGAGGAAGTCTTCTGTCAAAAATAAAAAATCTAAAAAATGTACGAAATGCTTAGCTCTCGACACAAACGCTCGGCTGTACTCAATCGTTTTCGATAATATTAATATTGATCTCTACTGCAGTTTTTTAAAGATAATTTCACTGCAGCAGGACACAGATAGGTACGCTATTAATCCGAATATGTTCGATGTTATATACTTAAGTGTTGGTTTCGTTTTTGCGAAGGTTCGTCCGGGCTTCGAATGTGGACAGCAAAGGTGCCGGTCTTTATCGTTTGAAAAATACAATTACAATAATATTATAGGTATATACCTATTACATTTACCAAATACCAGTTACATGGTGCAAAACTATCTAGAATTTGGTGTGCATACTTTCCCAGCATCCTTATTCGACATGATTTAATCGTCACCACAACGTGCTACAGACAACAATCATTGAGAGATAATTGACATAATTGTAACAATAAAATGTATAATTTATTGATATTGTGTATATCACTATACGGTTGTAAATGTTGAAGATTTTTATTCAATTTTGAAATTTGTTTTTAAAAAAAGGTTTAAGTCTTGTAAATAATTGTCTTCTATGCACAGTCAATAGATATGTCCCAATAAATTATATCATATTAGGTAATATTCATTTTTTTTTCATTCCATTCAATCATACATTTATTTTTTTATTTTTTTTTGCTACGCATAATTAATCAGTAAATATTGAAAATAGTTGTTTGTTGAGTATAGTTTTCTTTCTTTGCCGACTCGTCCACAAATAACTCTTACATTTTATAAACATCGCTTTACAATGTGGCTCGCATCGAATCAGCTATATGAATTTTCGGCTCCCAAAATTAAGGTTAGTAGCCACCCCTGGTCTTCTAGATGGAAAAAATATAAGTCATCGTGGTTGACTGACAAATTAAAAAGAAGTGTCTAATCGTTTTCAAATGCAATCGGTATCTATTTAATATATGCATAGGTAAATTTAAAATTCCAAAATTTCGATAAAACACAAACAAGAATTGTGTAGTAACTATATATTACACCCACATTGATGGTAAGTCGATCTGGGAATCGATTGTACCCGTTTGTGGAGGTCACTGGTCAGTGGACACAATATGCTAATTAGGACGTAATGTAGTATTATTATAATGAAGAAGACACGGCGTGTGATATTAACACAATATTTATAAAAATATTTACAAACATCATCGCGAGTTTTAATTTTTTTTCCCGCGACAAATTAAATCTAAGCATATATATTTCTTCCTCGTTTTTCCGCGGCATTAAAAAAAATAATTTGTCACGGTTCGGATGAGATAAGAACGAGACCGGGGGAGGGGGAAGGTATCAGGGTATAAAAATGGACACTTTATTACGGGTATACTATTTTTTTTTCTTCTCCTTTTCTCAGTGGGTATCACATATTTTGACACACTTAAAACGTTACAGTTATGTCGGTAACCGCCTCCAAACTAACCTTGATAAATTAATTCGTTAACCGCGCGTGTTAAGTGCGTTTCTTACGTCCCGGGAGTACGTGAGCCTCGCGGTTTTCATTTTTTTTTTTCGTTTAACGTTTCTTGCTTGTAATTTTTTTTCCACTCGCACGTCATAAAAATATAATTCAATCATCGTCGTCGTCGTCGTCATATCTGTCGAAAACGTGTATATCGTTTTTTTCACTTACTTATTAATAAATCGTAACTATTACTATGTTGTATGTTATAAATTAAATAGATTAAACACCTATAACATTTATCATATTATGTGTTATTATATCGATTGATTCTCGGGAGACCTAGATAACGAGTTTCAGGCCATCACGTACTCGATGTATTGTGCAGTTATAATTACAATATATTAAGGCCCCCTTCATTTTCAAGAGGACTCAACACATCATATTATTTGTAGGGCGTTCGACATAGGTCATTTATTGAAACTCGTCGAAAAATTAAAAAAAAAATCAAATAGTTTACATTTGAGCACAGATTCAAAATGTTTTGTAAGTGGAGATAATCAATTAAAAGTGAACTCTTTTCCGGAACCTCCGTGCAAAATAAAATGAGTGTAAATAAATAATTACTACCATCGGAACTCTTTCAGCATATCAAAGTAGAGACTTGTGATGAATGCAAGACATCTAGTGAAATATGATTCAATTGATATGATAAACTATAATCAATTACTAAATATAATAATAATAATAGTATAATAATATGTATAATATATAATAATCTCTCAAATGTTTTGAAAGTCTGAACAATTTAAAAATCTAGAAAAATGCATTTACCAACTAAAATATAAAAGTTCTTATTTTTTGAAGTATTTGTTTCGAGAAATTAGGAATATCTGAATATTTGACTTTAGCACATCGTCGACAAACATTGCTCAATCGATTGCCACTGTTTGTTTTCTAACTCTCTTAAATGTACTTAAAACATAATTTTGGTCAAAATACTGTAATAGTGTAGCATACTTTTTTCCGTGGACTTTTTGCCCCAATATTAAAAAAACCAAGGAAACTTGACATTTTGTTATAAATGCTTAATTATTTGAGTCATATTAAATATGTAGTTATAGTTTTTTTGTCTACTATTGATAAATATCCCCCCGAAAAAAGATCTTACTAACGCACAGAGCAAGCCGGGTCACAATGTGACTTGAACGTCTGATAGACTGCCTCTTCCACCCTTATGATAACGGAAATTAAAACTTACAAGGGGGTCCCATATCAGTACCATCACTACCATCTCTTACATTGTTGGTATTTTTGGTGGTATTACGACATTTTTTAGAAAAATAGTTTTGTGTGGGAAAGAACTGAAGCGATTATAGCTGTTTGTAGATAAGAAGTGACATTTTCACTACAAATAGAGGAAAACTTCGTTTGTCAATATCGCTCTTACTAAAAAAAGTTACCCACGTTTGAAAAGCACAATAACAACGGATCTCAAACGATATAAATACTAACTTTATATTGCCAAAATGTCTAAGAAAATGAACTATTTGGCTGTGAGTGGAAAGTTGAACTCACTACAATGTGTCTATGGACACAGGTAAGGTCAACTTAACCCGTGGACACCTATATAATATCATCTACCTCCACTGCGAGACGTTCTTGAACTTAAAAAGAAAGAAAACTATGCTCTACAAACAACTTACTATTTCCAATATCGCCAAATAATTTACTCATTAATGATGAGTAGTAACAAAAGTATATCTACCCTCGTATAAGCCATGACTTTTTTTCCCCTAATAAAATATGCATGTAATCACTAAAATAATAAACGAACATAACGCTAATTCGAAAATAGAAACCGTTCGGACTACAGACTTGCAAGCGTCTACACGCTATCACGTGCACACACACGCCCGAGTATATTTTATACGGAGCGATAAAATAATAATATTATATTGTTTAATGACGGTAAATTATGCCATTAGCGGATTGTCGTGTACGGAGAGTATATTATTATCACAGGCGTCCGCGGTAATCGTTTAGGTGTTTAGACGACCGAACTGTCCGAGAAAACCTAAAGGGTAATTGCGAACGACGTTAATGGAACATGTCCGGATTCCGCGGCGGTGGTCGTCTTCCCACAGGCCCACAGCTGTGTGGGCGTGGGTATGCAACACGACACACACACACATAAAACATTATGTTTGATATTATATTACCGTATTGTACGCCACCGCGTACATTACCTAACCCGGTTTCCGGTATAACGGTGACGAGTACATTTCTATAATACACGATATATTTTGTAATCTGTGGCAATAACAATAACACCTAATAATATTATAATAGTCCATCATGGACCATCATCCCATTCGCCGCGGATGTTCGGCTGGCCTCCACCTAGGCTGCGGCGATGGGTAGGCGCGATTGCACGTGCACGCTCCCCGGCCGCGGTGCTTTGAAAAATTGTTGACAAACGCGTTTTTCCATTTTTTTTTTTTTTTTTTTTGTTACCTTTATTCTGGGAACTGAGTCAGATAAATATTTATTTTACGTCATAACTTACTGTAATAAACAAAACGCTGTTTTTCATAAGCTGTACACGCAATACAAAATATTTTAGTGCAGTTCTACAGCTGCAAGATTGGTAAAAATAATAGCTGTACTAAATTTTGTATTTTTTTTTTAAATATTAAACATGTCTTAAGTTATTATTATTACGTAAATACACTTTGCATTTTTTCATCTTAATTGTCATCGAAGCTTGTGTCAGTTTGCAGAGCATTAACCTCGCATTATTACTTTTATCGGGAATTGCTTAAATTAACCCGAAAACTTTTTCGTCGTTTCACAGGTGTTGTTCGTCGGCGACAGTTATGTGCCAGTCACCACTCAGCTCCGGTCCAGACCCATATCGCCTGCCGACTCGACCGTGCTCGATTGGAGACTGCAAACCGTGGAAAGTTGGGACGGACGGCGGCACGGCAACAACAAGACGCGTGTGCAACGTACGTATTTCGTTTTCCTCTTATCATACAAAATATCTATGATGTGTAAAATATGTTATCAGGAAAAAATATAAGTGCTTTACCGGGCAATGTATAACTGCGAATACAAACAATTAATTTATAATATTGATCATTGATTTTGTTACATTTCGACATATTACACATATTTTAAAAACATTTTACTAAAAAATCATAATTATAAAGTATTTGTTGAAAAATATAAAAATGTTAAATGTTAAATGTTAAATAGTATAATAATGCAAGTTACTGTATACAGAGCGTTTCAAAAATGACATGACATTATATTATACAATTATATCGAATTTAATTTATAATGAAAATAAAACAGTAATATAAGTTAACTTGTTATCGAAATTCCATGAATAATATATAATTATAAATTTTATAATTATTTTTTTTTTAAATTGATCTTTAGCTTCGGTGACATGGGTCATAAGTTTTACATTACGCATTATGTTGTATGTATTTATAGTTATAATTCGACGGCAATAAAGTAGAGGAAACCGTATGAGTGTTAGGACTTACGACAAAATTGTATTACTATAATTGCTGTAAAATATGCACAATACGTTATAATTTAATAAAATAAATGGTCAATATTATAAATTATTTGTTTGTAGTCGAGGTTTGTATTACAATGTCAGGACCACATTTCCCAGGTAGAGCCACATTGCTCGTTATACTAAATATGCTTATAATAATATTACTTCGTGTAAGCATTTATCGTATTTACATGACAATTTCGGTTTAAAAATAAATTACTTACAATATACTACAATTATTACTATAGAAGTAACTAATAATAAAAATGTAAGTTACTTAGGTACAACTAATTAATTAATGGTGATTGGTGGGTCAGATTCGGTGCAAATTACAAATCAAATTCTCAATCACCTTTTGTGGTGCAAGTCATACGCATAATATCATACTTACGTATTTTGGTTCAAACAAACAACTAGTTTTCCCTTCATTAACCCCCTCCACTCGACCCAATTTCGGTAGGTATCGACAGTTGGATATCAAATAATACATGACACATCGGCCCTGAAATTCATCATCCCAAGAGAAAATGCATCTTCCACGCCTTTTTTTCTTATTTCCATGTGTAGGACAGACTTGATCGGATCGGTTATAATACGATTCGTACATTTTCGAAGGACATAATATAATAATAATTATCATTTCGGTCGGTATTTGTAAGCTATCAAGACTGTTTTCACGGACGGTATTACCATACAATGATAATGCTGACATCGATTGTCGTTGCGTATAAAGTTTCACCAGAAACCTATCTCGACTCAAAACGGCCTAACCACGAGTAGTTACTTGACCATGTTCATAGAAAATACATTTGTGACAGAACCACGGTACCCGAGACGACCGGACGTCCGCTACTGACACAACCAGCTTTTGTTACAGCCACAGCAGTTGCGAAACGGCGTGCGATTAGGATTTATCCCAATTAGCACATAACGCTGACCAAATCCACTTCACGACTATAATAATATCTGTTTTCGTTTGTGCTCTGTTGCGATTATTATCGCTATTATTATTATTATACTTCATAATATTATTGTATTACGTCTTGTACATACGCAAATCTCGCCACGGGTCTTGTATATTCCCGCTCTGCGTATTATTATGATAATATAATATTGTTATGTTATTATAAAGAGGCCATCGCGATAAACGCGAGTAACATTGAAGCTGACGTCCGTTCCTTAGACTTTATGGCCACTGAACCGACTCAGATAATAATATTATTAATTATTATTGTGTATAAATGGTTAATGGTTATTATTATCGCCGTTGCCGCAGCCGTTTCCGACGCATAATCTCAATAACAGAACTATATAATCACGATAGTGCGAACTTTCACTTGTTTTCCAACGAGGCGTTTGATTATATTATTATTATTATTATTATTTATTGTTGTTATGTGAAGTGATGGCCACGCAATACATATTCTGTTCGTCTCCTTTCTTCTACAGAAAATAAAATAAATATTTCGGGGAGTAGACACTTACCAGAGTACCTGCACATGTGACACAATGGGGTCGATTGAGTGGGGTGGAAAATATTTTAGGAAGACAACATTTTTCAAAGATGGTTTTGGGTTGTGCTTTTCTATGTTATTATTGTTGTCCATTAAAATTATTAGAAAATGGCTAGGTTCCTTGGAAAATGTATTAGCTACAACGGCATATCAAAACGATGTTAACAAATTATTAACCATATGATTATTATTCCTTCTTAATTTGCTTGAACAGAATAGTTGTGTAGTGTCTGAGTTGTAAAATGAAATAAGGCTTTTACATTTTGAAAAAAATTACTATCCCTTGATATTATTCATATATATATTATTCATATTGATCAAATTTGAGTGGAAGGTGAAGCCCACTCCCCAAGCATCGATCCTCAAAAAAAAAACAAAAACCATTTATCAGTACGCCAATAACTACTACTCATGAGTGATTAAATCAAATATTTTTAACGTAATTTAAATATAATTAAAGAAATAATTATTTAACATAAATAATTTTCATTTATTAAAATATGTAGGTACACAGGTATTAATTTATGTATTTTTAATTACAATTAAGTAATATATTCCATAGCTGTTATGCAGTATAATAGTAATAGAAATAATACGGTGTATAATTAATCAATTTAATTTAATAGGTACCTATAATGTTATTCAGTTCAATTTTGCGTAACAAAATTTGAATTTTATAAAAAAAAACAAGTGCCCCTCCTCCTCCCCGCTTGTCTTAAAAATAATAGTATCTACCTAAACATAGATCACCGGCTCTCAAATAATAGAACTATAAAAACTATTAGAAGAGCTCTATCCGCCCTGTGACCTCCGTCAACACCAAATCGAGCACTAATAATAATATTAATATGGTGTACGCGTCATAATGTCTATGGAAGTAGTGTGCAGTGCATGTGTGTGTGTGTGTGTGTGTGTGGTGAGTGTGTGTGTGTGTGTCGTTTTCCCGGTACGGAGATTATAATGTTATTATATTATGAGTGATTAGTATATGATAACTATATGGTGTACGTACACGCATTATGGGGCCATTCAATTTTCCCGAATATAATAATAAATTATATTATTGTGCTTTGGAGGTCGAACCGTAAAATTCGTCGTGTCGGCACGCTTAAACGCTTTGGCGGTTTTAAATATTTTCGTCATCCGCGCCAGACATACCATCCCTCTCGCCCGCCCGACCCACCTCCAAAAGGAAACAAAAGAACCCCTACAGGCCGACTACCGCATTAGACGATCATTATACAACGACGTTGACGACTTAATGCCCGAGTCACGTGCATTAAAAAATAACAACAGCAGTATATAATAGTATGATGAAAAAAAACTACTTTTGCCCGTCGCAATCGTACACGCGGTGGATGATAATAGGCTTATTGTAAGCACGCGTTTAACTGTGAGGTCGTACGCGAGATGCGATTCCGCAGGAATGGACAAAAATATAAAAAGAATAGAAGATTCGTGTTTATTCATTATTGTATATTATGTGCAGATGAAAAAAAAAAACGTTCTTGCACACGTCATTAGCCGTCTACGGGATTATTTTCACGACCAGTTTATATAGGGTGATTTCTTGTCGTTTTACCTGGACGTTTTTGTTTTGTTTTTTTCTGATAACAAAGTACTTAATGTTTTATACGATGTCTATATGACCAGTGTATTAACCTACCTACCAATTACCGGAGATATTTATTAGCATTTATTCCAATTGCAAAAATAATTTCAAACTTTATTATATACTTACAAATATCTCTTGAGATATAGTCTGCATGTATTCGATAATACATAAATATATAGTCACCTCACGTTTACATAAACTTACAATAATTAGAGCAAGGACATTCGTGTATCCCCATATTTTTGTTGGTGATGTTCATCGTACCATACTTAGTTAGTAATCTCAGTACAAAATATAGTTCACAACGTTTGTGATCCAATAATTTGTTGTGCATATTGTGACATTTTGTATTTTGAGGAAATGTTTCGGATTTTGCGGGTACATTTTGATTTTTAGTGCATGCTTTGAATGTTTATCATCAAAATCAAGCACTTCGCACTTCGTAGATTTTTTTCTGAAATCAAGGTCACCAATTCTTTAATTAACCTGTGAATTTGTCTCATAGGCCATCCATAGAGAATAATTTCTATCATAATGATAATAATGAGTATAAAATAGGTGCATATTTGATGGTTTTTTAGTGTATTATATAAAGTCCTTGCTCTGTAATCATAACAGTATTATTTTATTATACCAACCTAATTATCTAGCCTTACTGTGCTGGCCCTACGTGGACTTTGCGTTGCAGGGTTTGGTTCATCAAATGCATCATCATTTACAAACTTGCCAACGGTTGTAAGCCAATCATATTATGTAATAGATGGAGTCGATTTTTAAAATTGACAACATTAGAGTCTACCGAGGGTGCAGGATACAATGTGCAGTGGTCTACGAGGATAAGGATGAAGAGTCCACGGACCCTTGAGCCGCCCATATTATTCTGTGCACACACGACATAATGACAATACACACGTAAACACTGCAATACTATATATGCATGGTAAACGTGCAGAGGATGTGAAATTAATAATGATGATGGTGTCTGCGCCACTGTATTATTATTGTTGTTGTTGTTGTTATTATTATTATTATTATTATGCATATTATGTTATGTATATTATTGTAGTATTGTATTAATATAATACAACGACGCATCGTCATCGACTACGACGATGACGATAATATTATTATACGGCCGAGATGAATATATTTAATTTTCGTGTACAATTTTCACGGGCCCGTGTTTAAATATTTGTGAACTGATTTAAAAATCGTCGGCGGCGGAGGTGGTATAGGCGGTGTATACCTATATCTATCTATGTATAGAAATAATAAATATACACACACACACCTTCGAAGTTGGTGGGG